CAATATATAAGGGGCTTTCACACACAGCCATAACAGTTAGGAATGAATGTATTCAGTAAAGAAACGGTGTATACGTGTGTGTAGAAAACCACCCTATTTTCTACCCAAGAGTGGTGACAAAGATCCCTCCGGTTGTTGTGGTTTTGTTTAAATGTTGATTTAACACCGTGATCTTTCCTTTGAAACTTACTTACAGTTGCAAATTAGTGGAATAAAGAGAAGAAAGTTACCAAATTACAGCAGTGTGTGCATAAAGGGGGAAATACAAATGTATCCTGTTTCAGCTCAATCTCAGCAAGACCAACTTCGTTATGGTGACCTTTAAGCAATGAGAACCAAAGGATCACTTCACCAGCTGCTCCTGAAGATCAACTCAACATAACAAGACAGGAGAGCAAATTGGTGTGCATGACTGTTGGCTGTGCCTCCTTTCCATGTGTTAACATTAGCTGCACTTTCGTCTCCTGTCACACTTCTCAGAGTAAACTATTTCATATTTCTCCTCATCATTACCTAAGAAAAATGGCCACAGTCAACTCAGGAGATGGCTTAACTACAACGGGCAACCCCTCCCGTTGGCAGCTCTCTTTTTCTGTTAAGGAAACTGGTGGGCGCGTCCGCACACTTGTCTAAACAGCCCGACTTTGACTGGAGTGTGTACACTCTAAAAATCAGCAGCTCCTCCTCTTGAGAGCAAATGGACAGAAATCCTGTGAAAAAATAAAGTCCCAGCAGGGATTTGAACCGAGGATTCACTGACTGTCGCGGCATGAGTCTGTGTCTGAGTCCTGCCTGGACTTGACCGGCCCACCCACCCTTGTGTGTGTTAGGTCCGTTAGGGATCCGTTCCTTAAGCGGAGGCTACTGTCACGGTCTGGGTTCATTTCCCATTTTATTTTGTGGTTTCCTGCGTCTCGTGTCCCTGGGTTAACTTCACTTCCTGCCCTGGTGTGTTTTCCCCTGTGATTGTGATTGTCTGCTGTGTCCCTTGAGATTGTTTCCTCCTGCGTCCAATCACCTGCACCTTCCCAGTATATTTAAACCCTGTGTGTATTTTTTTTGTGTCGATGTTGGTGTGTTGCAAAGTGTGTTGTGGTTCATCTTGGTTCCTGTTTTTGCATTTTTGATATTTTGTTTGCAAAAGTAGTAGTAGTTTACTATTTTCTTTAGCTGCGACATGATTCAAAGAGCAGAATCAATATCTGAGTCTAGCGAATAGCTTGCGGTCAGGATTTTATTCAATTTAGGTAAATCAGGTTTATCAATTTAATTCAGTTATACAAATTAGTGAAGGGATTAGCACGATTTTAAAATAGTGTCACTTTTTATGTATGAGTTAAGTGTGTTAATGAAAGTGAACATCTGACCTCATGGAGATCAGCATCTTCTTGGACATAAACTAAACAATAAACAATTGCTTCATTGACTGCTTGCATTTCGTTTTGGTCTCTTCCGGTTTCCTAACACCAAACACGTACAAAACCAGAGTCACACACTGCCCGGACTTGGCAGTCAGCCTGCGGCCTGCTTTAGAGAAGCCCTGGGGCTTCATACCCACAGCCTTAATCACTAGGTTTTGTCTGCAGTGAAGATTGAAGACCACTGAAAGTGGAGCTGAGCACAGAATGAATTCAAGCACCATCGAACACACACACACACACACTCACACACAAGACGGCACAAAATAATACTTATGTGCTACTTCAAAGCTTCAATTAAACAGGAGAAAAACTAGATAATAACCGTGAGATTATCCACATCGTAATGAGCTAATGTATTCGTTGTGACACATCAAAAAAACGTCCACATCTTCTTGCCAACGCATGGAAATACATTAACACCACAGCTGGGAATGGCATGCACGGAGGTGCATGCAAATGAGGGGATATGTTTTTAAAGACACGTTTCAAGTTTTGACAAAACCGCAATGTGTTGTGACTTGTGACAAAGTGTTTTGGGAAAGGTGGCTACCCTGCAACAATGGTGGTTACATTATGTAAGAATAGCTTTTCAAACCCAGGAATCGTCTTCTAAAGCAGCTGTATTTTTCACAGAATATCTGTATTTATGTTGGAGGGCGGAGAAGTTCTTTTATGGCAAAAAAAAAGAGACAACTTCACTTGGCTGTGGTCCGTGCCATTTACACAATTCATGTTTCCACAGAATATGCAATCAATTAACACAATTGTAAAATGAATATCTATTCTTTGGATGCAAGCTTACCCACTACCAAGATTATATTATTAGAATGTAAAAATGCTTTCACACAGCACATTTGGTAAGGTGCCTCTACGAATACAGCTAGAAAACTACGACTTTTTTTCTCCGGCAATTCTTCACTTCTTGTTGATACATTTACTGAGTTGTACACTTTGATAGCACAATTCCACAACTTCTCTCAGGCAAGAACGAGATTATTGATTGGGCGTGTTGGTAAAAACAGAGTGGCTACACAAATCATTTCGTATGTCTAATATCCAGATGAAATCTTGATTTCCCCAATGACATATCAGAACCTTTATGGGACACAATTTGAAGTCTCGGTACAGTCCTAGAAGCGGTTTCAAAATCACATAAAAATGTGGGAGAAGAGGCTGCACTATAGTAGTGGCAGTAATATGCTCAGTAGATAAATGTTTCTGGATAATATAGTAAAAAATATTTCAGACCTTTTATACACATATGGACCTACATATTCTTGTTTTCAGGAGGTGATAGAAGACCTTTTTCAACATCTGGCTGGAGAGCATGCTGTGTGGCTAGAATGCAGCCCACCCCCACAGATGATTTCAGTAATTAGATTGCAATTTGCTTCTCAATCCTTCTCGGTGTAAGTGGGAAACTCACAGCTGGTCAGCTTTCACGGGATGCAATATGAGATTGCAGGCGGCCAGGTACAAATTAAACTCGTAATGACTTTTGCAGAATTGTTATCGGTGTGCAAAATATGTATCTGATAAACTGTGCGGGTCCGCAGCAATTTTGAATCTGGCAATCTCCATGATCATGCTTTGTGAAACACCCTCCAAATTAGATACAGATAGTTTGCCAAGATGGGAAAATTGGAAAGGGAAGTTAGTGACTGCTAGGCAACCTGTGCGTGGAGGGGCAAGGTGTGGTGCTCCAAAATACCAGGGCAACACAAGCTCACAAGGAAGTACAGGGTGTTGCCACTAAGCACACTTTGAAGGGTTGAGCAGGACAAATGCTGCTGTAGATTACAGTAAGTAAATATTCAGGTGTGTTTGCCCTTTGATGTAAATGTGAACGAAGTTAGGTGATAGTCTTTGGTCCGTGAACTATCAACTTCCTTGACGACAAGGCACCGGTGTGACGTCTTGCTGTTATTTGCTCCTGCTCCCAATCCAATGTAGATCTTGGGTGGATCTCCAATCCAGACTGCCCTGAAGCCCAAGGACCATCAGGGCACGCTCACTCCCCCATGCATCATGCCTCATAGAAAATAAGTGCATTTCCTGGAAAATGATTTGTTGTGCTGGTGGATGTAGACGTCCCACACATGATATCCTTACAAAAACCTACTGCTGATGCTGTCGGTAAGACGTCTCGGACGATTTCTCTCCCTCTTGTGCGGACTGCGCCGGTATACTCAATAGGGAGAAAAAAAAATCCTTTCGTCCTTCAAAAGAGTGCCCAAAGTCCTTTAGCTAAGAGGGATCTCTTAGCATTTAAGTGCTTTCTTTAACCCACATTTAGTATTTCATGACTGAGATGTGTGTGTCTGGCTTAATTTAAAGGTTAGCAAACAAAACTATTTCACCAAAGAGTGGACATCTCTGAGCAGTGTCCTCAACAGAGTTGTGGAGAGCTTGAGCTGCCTGCATTTCATGTTAGACGGATCATCTGCCCAGAAGGCTGACACAAGATACCTTTTAATAGTGCAGAGTTAAATTCCTCAAACGGCAACAAGCACAGGCAAAGCGGAAGTGTTCTAGATCACCAAAAATAGGAATTCTCTCCACCACTGGGTGTGGAGACTAATAATCCCCACACAAGTAAGCTTGGATAATATGTAAAATTTCTCAGTGCATTTTGCATCTACTGCACGTGACAGGGATCAAGGGGGTTCTAAATTACTCGGCCAAGAGTCGGGAATCTCGTCACGGTTAATTACTGATTTTCTCTGTTAATGTCTCACTGGTCATAACAATATTACCAGGGACACAGGCCACATGTCTGATTTAAAATGATTGGGAATGTTGCTGGTAATGAGTAGAATTTGTTTGGTGAGTGGCTGGTGTGTCAGATCACCCAGCTATCGTGAAACTGTGCTCCAAATTGATATTTAATGAAACAGAAAGTAAACTTAAAAGCAAAAATATGGAAGCATAGATGTGATGTGTATGCGGAGGGCCTCTTTTAAAAGTGCAAAGACAATGAGCAATTATTTTTGCTTTATTTGCATGCGGTCTCTACCTCATTACGTACTCGTGCAGGTCAAGCATAATGAAACATCTATTAATGAAACATCCATATATGTGTATTGTGTCTTACTAAAAGGAATCAACTGCTACCTCCAATGCATCAATAAATTACAATTCTGTACTTTCATAATATGGGGCAGTTATAAGGAATATGTTATTTGTTATTCCACATTGTTCTTATACGAACCGACTAACAATTGGATTTTCATTGAACAATCTGAGACAACCTAGAAAAGCAAAGAATGGTTAACGGCTTATCTGGTACGGAGTGTAAATTAAATGCATGTGAATGTACACATCTCTTAAAGTAATATGGTCTTATATTACATTACATGTAATGTATTACATTACATTATATATTGGCCCGTTCATCAAAAAGGGCAAATATCCCTGACCAACACCATAAAACGAGTTCCACAGAAGCAGCAAAATTCTGCAAACATTGTTCAGTACGCCTAGTAAAATGACAGACAAATGTTCAAATGCTGTAAATCATCTCGAAGTATAAGTCTCTGAACAAAACTTTCGTTTTTTTGTATGACTTTTTTGTCCTACCTCTGGTGTGGCTGGGGACCCTGCGGCGGCCCGTCGATGAGCTGTGAATGACGTGCTGGTAGTGAGACATGTTTGTTGGCGTGTTGGGAACACGGAAACTGTCCTGGAACCTCTGCATCAAATCCTCTACTGACTCCGTGTTTGGGTCAATGGCTGCAAAAAAAGAGACACAAAGAGAAAAAGGCAGACCTGTCACAAGGCTTTAAAGTAAAACTCATTTTGCAAATAGTGACCAAAACAGATACACACATTGAAAAATTCTAACTTTTTTCTTTTAAAGGTTAACTTATTAGTGTATGTGATGCAAAATGAATGCTATCCCATTTACCGTATATAGCAAAAATATATAGTCTTTTTAATCAATACCATTTTCTTCCGGCCTTATATTGATTGCATCAATTCAATATTGCCTCAACACTCTCATCCTTGATGGCTCAGTATGGATAAATGACTGCAATACAACTTGCTGTAGGGGGAGGGACAGAACATTGGCAGACCTTTGACGAATATGTTCTAGATAATTAATAAAAGCCATCAAAGACATCAGTTATCAGCAGAGAATATTGAGTCTGACACACAAAAACAACTCCAATCTTTCTAAACAGTTGCCGTGTTAAACAAATTAAAGTGAGAAAGTCCAAGTAGCGTGGACGTGGAAGTGTAGCGAAAGAACACAGTTACTGAAAAACAAACAATTCATCAATAAAGTATGACAACAGCTGTGTCCCCAAACTTAGTATAAGTTTACCCATCTCCAAAGGACGGGGACATTTATCACCCCAACCACGAGAATCCCCACCTATCATCAACATCTATTGATGTGTCGGTCTTGCTCTGAGGTGCACTTTTTCTATGAATAATGGTGATATGTTGCTCCCAGTGGATGCTCATCGTGCATCTCAATGAATGCACGAGACCAGAGGGGAAGGGAGATGAAGAGGACAAGGACGAGGGTGAAAGTGAAGAGTATGAACATTGTTTTCGATATTGTGAATGGGAAGCTTTCAATTACAGAGGCCATGCACCGTGCTTGAAAACATGCACATTATCCATGTAATTATACATAGTTGTTCAGAATCATTCATGGTTAGCTCATTAAATCATGATTGAATAGGGAGTCATAGTTACATTACATTACATAGTAAACATTAAGACTTAAGACTCCACAGCCAAATGGCTGGATAGTTATTTTCTGGAGATATTTCCATTATAACAATGTGTGACTTAGTTATCACTACTCAAGGTGCCCTGAAAACCGACAAACTGTTTAATGGGAGTCAAGCACACTCAAGCAGTTGAATCAATGGTTTATTGAGCAAGTGAGCATCAACTCTACGAAAATCACCGCAATCGACCGTTTACCAAAAGCAGTGCAATGAAAACAGCAGTAGTTTAGGACTATAATTGCTACAAGTCTGAGTGAGTATTGAGAGCACGATCAAACACATTTATTCATAATAGATGGCTAAATGTGAGCATGTGTATGTCGGCAACATTTTATTTTGCATTATGAGGTCCAACGTGGCCTTTCCTTTGACTTTAGTGTCCGTAGACCGAGCTTAAAGCCTTAAATGGAAAGCGATTAGACAGCTGCAGTACTGAACGATGATAAAGTGAGCTCCATTCCCAGTGGGCGGTCATGGTAGTGCTTGACTTATTTAGATAGGTGTAGTTGGCTTGGAGACAAAGAGAGTCAAAGCAGATGGCACTTAAGCTTTGACCTGCCACGACCAAGGAGACTGTGTGACGGCATGCTTGCATACATATTTCATGGACGGAACTCTCTTTATCTCTCTTTCTTTGTTCAATTTTGAGGCAAGAATTGAGATACTAGGTCATAGGAGAAGTGCCGAAAGCCACAGTCTCTTTGAAAATAATGCAATTTGTCTCGAAAGGTTGTCATGACCCTTCTGCTGAAGTTTACCCCGTGTATTTATAATAGTCCTCCACATTGTCATACACAACCAACTAAATTGTCAACGAACTTAGAATGCAAAAATATGCCGATGGCACCATCAACTGCATAGTAATTCTGTAAAGCTGACACATGTTCTTTGGGCGGAATTCAAATATGGTGCAATGAGTTAATTTAATTACCAACAGGATGGGGATTTATGATCAGTAATCCAACACCATAGTTGGTGCAATATAGTAAAACAGTTAGCAGTTATTAACATTAAAAAAAAAAATATATATATATATATATATATATATAGTTTTTATTTTATGCATTTTTGCTGCTCCCTATTTCTCATATCTGTCCAAAGCAGCCACCGCTACTAGGATAGTTTATTCTGACATTTGTTTTTTCCCAGACCCAAGTCCAAACTGGCTTCTCAATTTGAGTTCAATGTCAGCTCAAGCTCTGGTGGCTTTATTTTTTTTCCTTTTCATCCCCCTTATCTGCAGTTGCTTGCTCCCTTATCGTGTGTTTACAGTCTCTCATAAGCAGTGGATGTCAACAGCATGCCGCCTCAGTCAACTTATTCCTCGCGGTCTCACAATGCCCAGCGCGTTGCGATAACCTCACTCTACCCGTTTCTTGTTTGACCCCCACGTTGGCTCGTTAATGCAGGGTTTTCCAAAAGCATGAATATGAATGTGTTTGTCTCTTTGTCTATGCAAATGACCACGGGGTGCATTGCATTCAAAGCACAGCTGTGGACAGCTGTTCACATAAAGTGAACTCCAAATCCTGTTTTCATGGTTGTGTGGACTTTATTTGTATAACAGAAATGGCATCAAACCCAAACAGTGAAAAAATATTGAAAAATGTTGCTAGAATACTTAGTGAAGACAATTATTTTATACGTATAAGATCACATTGAATGTAAAAACCAGCTGAATGGTTTAGGAAAACTATTCTTCCAGTGTCTGATTTGTTATAAATACTTATTGAAATCCAATACTGATATTATTACAGTTGCTGTTATTAAGATCAAGAGAGTAGGTATCAATACATTTATGTAGCTCTGCATGTCTTCCTTTGGAAGATTCACGAGTAAAGCTCCAGTTTGCAGAAGCAGTGGCTTCTAAAAATATATTCCTGGGTATTGTGACAAAAACGGCTATAACGATGCCTGTATCTGATGCCTGTAATTTCACAAGAAAATGATATTCAGCACCAGAAAAGGCAACAGTTGTTCCGTCAGCACAAAAAGCTAAATGGACAAGACTCTGGCTGTCTGCGACCAAATCGCTGATACAGCCAATGGGAATTACTGTCGGTCAGGAAACCGTTGACGAGGACTCGCTGATCACAAATAGTGCTTGACCTCTTCTCTCAGGCTCAAGAGGATATTTCCTCTCTGCTGAAAGTCGGCGAGTCACAGGGCAAATCTCGTCGGGCTCTTCAATAATGCCCTGTGCCCCCGAGGTAGGTGGTGATGCAGATGGCAATGCAGCATGGAAGATGCATTGGAGTGTTGTCATATAGGGTAGTAGCAGACACTTTAAAAATAAAGGCAATGTTTATTCTCAGGAATAAAAATCTATTTTTTCAAATAATAAGGCAATTTGATCGTCATTATAAGATAATTGAAGTATCGACCTGCCTCGGAAAGTGCCTTTTGAAATGTACAATTTAATACAGCTACGCCTACCCGCAGCCATTTAAAAAAATCAAATGAAACATTTGCAAAGCAAGGCTGTGATACCACTTATGCCTGTGCTTCACATTTAATACCGCTTCTTGGCATGTTGTAACAATTACGAGTCAGTTATGGGCTTTTTCTATTCAAAGCCGTCCTGCGTGGCAGCCCGACAGTGTGCATATTCACACGAGCAGATGAAGCCACGACGCAAATGGCGGGCATATTTCTGAAGATCTTTGGACCCTGCAAACCCCTGCTGTTTTAATTTGGAGCAAATCTGTTGGAGAAAAAAATGAAAACATACAAAAGATATAAAATCTTTGGCATCGTTTCAAAAGGTCCATTGCAACTTTTTGGGGAAAGTTTGGACGGAACTGCTTCTGCAACAGTGTGACAGGGGAGGAGAGAATAAGAGGTTAGACAAATACAAAGAAGACACGGCGTCCATCAATGAATGGGGAATGGAAGAGAATGGGCAAGAGTGCGAAAAAGAGATGGGTAGAAACTGGATGCATGTTAGGAATGAAATGAAGATGAGACGGCCGGGAGAGGCAGCAAAAAAAAACCCACATATTCAACATTCATGTGGCATGAGATTTAAAACCACACACAGGCGGATATTCTCGCACAATGACAAGAGCGCATTCATCTCGACAACGCTGAACACTTTGGCAAAGGTATGGATGTGAAGGGAGATAGTTACACCAGAATGGGAGGAATCTCGTGTTCTTTCTAAATGCATTTTTTCCCCCTACGCCTATTGCCAAGTCACTACAAAATGGACTTATATTGACAGATGAAAACCGTTTGTAAGACATCTGGAGGACTGAGAACAGAAGACACAGACAGAAACTCCCCAACCCCCCCCCCGCTCTGTGCGATTTGAACATTTACTGCCTCAAACCTGGTGGTTCCCAGCCACTATAAAAGCATGTAATGTCCGACACATCTTCTAGCCTTTGCCTCTACTTGTATATTTAAGGCATCTGCGGTTCGCAGAGAAGTAAGAATAAATTGCTATCTATAACTCGGGTCTTGCCATGGGGCAAAATAAAATATGGATGTGTTTCCTCATGCTGTGCCAGCTGAACATTACAGGCCAAGCTCTGACCTCCATCTGCTCCAGACAGCTGAAGCGCCTGACAAACAATCCCAATTACACCCCGGTCATGAGGTTTAACAATGAGATCCTCATTTATTTAGATAGCGACTCGCGGATGAATAACAGAAAACAACTGGAAACACCTGCATTGAAGTCCTTGGACAATTTTCGGGTGCAAGACGACGGCAAAGCAGATTAGTTGATGAAGGTGACATGCACTTTTAAAGACTGAGCTTCCTTTAAAAATAAAGAGTTCAATGGATTTTTAAGTGGTCCGGACAATCTGACAACGATGAATGCAAAAGCCGTTGCATACACAATAGACACATCCACAGGGTTTAAGAATGAAGAGTTACAGAAACAAAGCCAGAGAAAATGGGTTTATCTTCCACGGTGACGTCCTTTGACAATCGATCGCCCGTCACTGGGAAATCATTGTCGACCATGTTTCAGATGCT